CGAACAGATGCTTGGCGTGCGACCTGCCGATATCTCGATGGCCGATATGCGTCAACACCTCCGAGTACGCCGACGGGTGCCGCGATCGCGACTCCATGTACGAGTACGCGAGCAGAAGATCTTGCAACGAACTTTCTGCACGAACGTCCGACGACGTGCTGGATGAGGAGCTGTCTGTTCTCCGGGATTACCAATGCAAGGTGCGCAGCAGGCGTCTTGTGGAAACCGTCTTGGACGCTTCAAGGTTGACGGGCACCTTTCCCGGAGGTACCAGGAAGCAGATGCTGTCGTCCATGCTCTGCAGGGAGGCTGCGAGACGGGGTTTCGTGTTTCCCCGTCGAAGAGAGACTGCGGAAGAACCGGCCGAAGGCGGAGGTCTCGTTCTAGAACCAGTGCCAGGCATCCACGATCACGTGGACGTGTACGACTTCAAGTCCTACTATCCCAGGTTCGTCGTCGACCGGAACATGGACGAGGCGACCGCTCTCGAAGACGGGTCCTTCGTCGACGCGAGCGTACTCGAAGGTCTTCTGCCGTCCGTACTCAAGAGGCTGGTGCGAGGACGGGACGAACGACCGGAACGGTCGGCCGCGTACAAACGGGTGGCGAACGCGTGCATCGGATGCCTGGCCATCTCCGGAAGAGGTCGACTCTACAAACACGTGACGTCGAGCTGCCGGAGACAGCTGGACAAGTTGAAGAATTGCGCCGAACGCAATGGCGCTCGGGTGGTTTACGGAGATACGGACTCGCTGTTCGTGAAGGTCGGGGCGAACGGCATACCCGACTTGCAGATGGAATTCGAAACAACCGTCGGCGGAAACGGATGGCAGAAGTTCGTCCGGAGGGAGACGTACAGACGGCTGCTGCTGACGACGGCGAAGAAGAGATACGCGTACCTGCAAGATGACCGTACAGTCGGCACGGTCGGCATGCTGAATGTGAGGGACGACGCGGAACCGCTAGTTTCCAAACTGGACCGGAAGTTGGTGGAGATCGCTCTGACGCACGACGATTCAGCGTCGGCTTTGGAGGCCTGCGCCGGTGCCTTCGTCGAACTCGCGGACGGTCTGAAGAGGACGAAGACGATCTCGTTATCGAGCGTTCGCCGACTGTCGAAGAAGGAAACGAACGCTCCCAAGTTCAGGAACCGACGAATTTCGGGTGATTCAGCCACAACGAATCGTGCCTCTTGGTTATGAGAGGAAAGGCGTTGCCCATCGACCTCGTCAGTGCGGAATCCCTGCCGTTGAAATCGGCGACCGTCCCGGCGTACAGGCTACCCTCGGCGAAGACGGACGTTACTTTTTGGTCGACGGCGAACGGACAATTGTACAGACCGTCCTTTGCGTTCCTTCTCCAGCAACCACTCTCCAAGTTCGACATCTCGGCATGAATGCACTTCGGTTTCTAAGCGTTGGTTCCGCATATCAACACTCGTCCGTTCGTAGCCGTCGAGGATTCTAGAGTTTGATCGAGATCGAACACGAACGCCGAGTTGTTCGCGCCCACGAACAGGGTTCGCCACTCCTTCACCACTCTCATTTCGACGATGGGCGAGATGCCGACGCTCGTTGCGAAAGAGACGTCGATTTCGTTTGTCGAAGGCGATTGATCTTCGGTCGGCATAGGATACGCAACCGAAACTAACATCACTA